CTCTGCCAGGCTGTTCCCAAGCTCTGGTGCTACCTTCTGTCCTCTCTCCCTCCTCTGGGGCCATCACTCCTCTCCCCCCCATCCTCTTTTCCTTCCCTTCTGGCCTGGAAGCTCCTCGCGAAGCGTCTTGCGTGTTGCATCCTGCCCAGTTGCGCTGAGGCCCAGCCTGTGAGGTTCCTAACATTCTTTCCCTGTGGGGACAGAGTCATTCTGCAAATGCGTTTAAGACTGCTCTGCCAGGAATCTGGGATGATGCAAGAAGAGGTTCCTCTTGGAGCACACACTGCCATTTCAAGTATCCTAGAAGGAAAATTAAAGAAGCCAGCTTAGTGCAACCCACATCGTATTCTTCTTCTTTGAAAATATAGGATTTTTTTTCTTGACAAGGGCAGCACACCAGAGAGGTAGCTGGCTTTGGGGAAGACGCTAAGACTGTAAGCCAGCATTCCCCTCTTCTCTTCTCCTTCAGTTAGGCCGGGACGGCAACTCCCAGCTCACTGGGAAATCTCAGCCTTGTGAAGGTGTCGGTTTTGTATCCTCGGGCTCAAGAACAGACAAAGAAGGACCGTATGTTGGAGAAGTAAAGGGGAGAGTAATCCTAGAGGAGGCGATGTCAAACGTATCGTGGCAGGCAAGGGCCTTTCAGGGACAACCAAGATCAGAAGAAAACAGCGGTCTTTCCAGCGTAATGTATGATGGGAAGGCTGAACGCTGAAGAGGAACAAGAGAAAAAGATACACGTTCTTGAATTATAGCTCTGGAGTCAGTTACTAAGAGTACCTTGGAATTCAAGAAGAATTAATCAGTGGGTCGTGGACCAAATGAGGCTGCAGGGTGACCCTCCGCAAGCAAAGCTCACATCCTTTGGCCGGGGGAGGCCAGCAGTTGGTGGACCAGCCAAGCCACGAAGGGGCAAAGTTGAGGGCGGGCAACGGAGAAGGGTGAGGGGGTCAGAGCCACGGCAGGAACCGCCCTGGCAGAGCTGCAAGGTAGCCCCGTGGACCAGCCAGCAGGGTCCGGCTCGGCCCAGCCCTCCTGGGAGCCAAGCCCGGCTCAGGGCACTTAACCAGTTCCAGTGGATCTGGAAGATACCAAGTTGGGAAGGCTGCAGTGAACCCTACTAGATCATGCCCAGCACCCTCTTCCCCTCCAGAACCAGCCATTTGGTGCCTCCAGGCCCCACGAGGGTTGCTTTTGCACCGGAAGTCTCCATTCCCCCTTCTTCCACGATAGCTTTTTTCCAAACCATTTTCCAGGAGCTACCAAAGCCAGTGGCTATTCCCATATCCTACTTTTTGCAATTCCAGGAATGGTTTATTGAATACAAAAGGCTGTGGTCCCTAGTGCAGGAAGAATGAAAAACGCGCTCTTTAAAAGCAGTACAACCAAAGGTTCTGGAGTTTATTTGGCTGAAACAGAAGTCACGTCCCTTTGACCAGTATTTGCTGAGAATTTGTGTTCAAAGAATTTGGTGTATCGCCTCCAGTTCTTACGATTCCTGCATTCACAATCAGGCAGTGTTATCTTTTTAAAGCTGATCTAAAGCAGGTTTTGCTGTTACACAAATATCTGACTCAATATTTCTTGGTCTGAGATGGAGTGATACTCTCCCAGTTATTTGTGCCCACAATTGTGTGTGTGTGTGTGTGTGTGTGCGAGAAAGAGAGAAAGCATAACATATCTCCAATTGTTGAGTCATATTTTCTGGTTCCTTGAGCCAACATACATATTGTTGTGAGAAAACATCATAAACGTGCCGAGAAATTATAGAGAAACTGTAGTCATCGATTCCATAACAAACCACAAGCGAGCCCCTTATTTTTCATAAGCAGATAGGAAACCTATCGATAGCCTGCTCGTTTCTATACATCCCTCTCATTTGGTTCCATTTGAGTCTCCCTTTACAGGCAACGTTATGCAAACTCGAGCAGGGAAAGGTTTGTGATGAGATCTTGATTTTTTGGTTCCACATTTACCGGAACCCAGCGCGGGTGATGAATCATCTCAGTCACCTGAGAAAAGAAATCAAAACAGGCCTCCAGTCATTTCAAAACTGAAAGTCCTCCCAGCTCCTTTCTGCAAAGTCTGGCTGAGCTCCTGGGCACTGAGACCGGCGGGGGG